AGACCTTCAATGTTGGAGATAAGGTGTTGCTTTACAATTCAAGGATGAAACTATTTCCCAGAAAACTCATGTCAAGGTGGAGTGGTCCATTCACCGTTAAGGAGGTGTTCCCCCATGGAGCCGTTGAGCTAAATGATTTGGATGGATCGAGGTCATTCAAGGTCAATGGGCATCGCCTCAAGCTTTATTATGAGGATGCTCATGTTGGTTTGATTGAGTCAATGCAATGCAATCTCATCTTTTGAGTGTGTGAAGTACGTCAAGCTAGTGACGTTAAAGAAGCGCTTCCGGGAGGCAACCCGAGTTTCTAACCCTCCTCTATTCTATTTGCTTGATGTTTTCTTTTCTTCTTTCACAACTTTGGATTGATGGTTTTGCGTGTATTTGGTTTGTGTTGGTATTCTTGTTTGTCTTGCCTTAAAAAGGAATGCATTTTCCATATACCTTAGGCATGATTGTGTTGTATTTTAGTGTGTCTTGAGGGGAAGTTTTGTGCAAATTTTCAGATAGAGGGATTTAGGGGTGTTCGACCAAACTGCAACAAGGTTCGGCCGAACTTTGCAAAAGTTTGACCGAACCACCCAAGAGTTCGGCCGCTCCTCCCCTAGAACTCAAAATGGGCTAAAAACTGTCGGATTCTGGAAAATCAAAAAGTTCGACCGAACTTTTCAAAAGTTTGGTCGAACCTATGCTGGTCCGACCGAACCCCTAGAAAGTTCGGCCGCTCCTGTTCTGGAAATCAAATTAGGCTGAATTCTGGCAGTTTCTGGAAAATCCAAAAGTTCGACCGAACTTTTCAAAAGTTTGGTCGAACTTATTATGGTCCGACCGAACCTCATAAGGTCCGACCGAACCTTTTTCGAGCTTGCCCAGAATTAATAGGCTTGAGCCGCTGCTTTCTCACTCTTACTTCATACATTCGGCTCTCTCTCTCTCCCTTCTCTTCTCCTTCTCACCCTAATACTCCATTGTCACCCCTCCTTCAACCTCAAATCTCCATAAAAATCACTCCTATCTTTTTCCCTCCTCACTTCATTAACATCCACTACTCAATTCCTACAATCTCCTTAAATTTTCCCCAATTTCTAGGGTTTGAGTGACTTGAAACTTCTTGATTTCTACTTACTTCCAATCAATTGTGGTATGGTTATTCTAGCTTTTGCAAGCTCATTTCTTCAATTTCTCTTTGTTTTACCAGGTTTTACATGTTCAAGTATGATATGTGGTATAATTGATATTGTTAGTCATGGCTTGTTGATTTAAGTGGTTATTGGGATTTCCTTGTTGTAATTGGTTGGTTGTTGTTAGTAGAACTTGTTTCATGATGAATATGCATGTATGACTTGGGTTTTCATGATTTCAATTTGTTTGCTTGAATGTGTTAATCTTTCACTAGGTTGTTCATGCTACATTTTGATTGAGAAATTCTTGAGTTGGATGGAATTTTGTGACTATTACTCATTGTTCTCGGTTTGATTTCGATGAGTTTTGAGTGGATTTCATGAATTTTAGGGGACATCATGCCCAATTTCGCCTAGGTTTTCTTAGGATTTGCATTCGATTTCCATAGGATTTTTAGCTCATGCCTTGGTTTATAAGTGTCCATTAATGCCTTGAATTGTATTGTTGCTACCGTCTACATCTATTTCACAACTCATGGCTTTTACTCTCATTGCACATACTTTTTATCTCGACGAGCTTCTTGTGCCTCCTTTTGGCTTGAATCTTCCTAATGTTAATTCTTGGCGATTTTTGTAGATTCACAATGCATCTTTTTGGCAAAAGCAAGTCCAAGAGGAAGAGGACGGGTGAATCTTCATCGTCAAATTTTCCACCTCCACCCAGCATCTATGATCATGGCATCATCGCTCCAAACAAACACTTTTGGGATGTCTATAAAACCCTCATAGACCGTCCCATACGATCTACAAGGTTCTTCTGCGGGAACACCTTAAGAAAGCTTGGCATCATGGATGAAGTAGTCCGGCTCGCACAAAACTTTGGTTGGGGCGAGTTCATTGACCTCCACGCTCACACCTATGAGCGCGTCACATTGGAGTTCCTTGCTTCCCTCCGCAAGGAAGTCATTGAAGAAAATGATGAAGGGAATGAATCTCAAATTATTCTTCACTTTCGTATGTTCAACGAAGACCATTCCCTAACCGAGAGTGAGCTCAATGAGATCTTCCATTGGCAAGCAACCGGGATGCATCGACCTTCCGATATGACCTCAATGTGTCGCATTCCCTATAATGAACAAGAATGGTGGCAAAGCATCTCCACCAAGCCCGTCTTTCGCACTAACACCGCAAAGGTCAACAACATCATCCATATTGCTTTGAGATACTTTGCCCGGCTCCTTCAGTATGCCGTATTCTTCAAGGCAAACCTCGGCTCTATGGTGAAAGATGAGGTAGCTTGCCTTTACTTGGCCGAAAATCCTCAGCGTTTAAAGTTCAAATGCTCCACCACTTTTATCTCGAGATTGTTGGACACTCGAGATGGGCGGCTTGGTGATGAGATACACATGGGGGGCATGATCACCCTCATTACCCTTTCTTTGAATGGTGGAGCTTACAAGGACCAAATTGATTTTCTCCCCCATGTGCTCCAAAACAAAGAAGAAGAGGTCGTCGGCTACCCTCCTTATGCTCTTTCTATTGTTGCTCTCCGTAACCAACGCTTCATCAACTACACCACCCAGAATCGCAAATTTATCCTCTTGGTTGATAATGGAGAAGAATGGTGTGTCCTCCCGGATCCTCCTCACACTTCGGTAGACCCTTCCAACCCGCTAAGGTGGAAGATTGCGCGAAAATTCATCCCCGATGAATTAAGGAAAAATCAAGTCCGCGGTGCAATCCCTCACCCTCAACCGGTCTACCAAGCGGAGCATCCCTTTCCCCCCCCCCCTAGTGGGGGAGGTGAGACATCTTCTTCTTCTTCCTCTTCTCCTTTTGATATGAGTGCCCTGCGTAGTACCCTCGATGGTATTCGTTATGATAATCAGGCTTCTATTGAACAATGGGGGTACTACGCAAGGATGAACTATGATAGTCTTGTGCAAGCGGGCGTTCAAACGCCCTATGTTAACTATCCCTACCACCCGCCTCAAGAGGGTCCAGTTCCACATTGGGACCCCTATGACCCTAACAACCCCTCCCCCAACACCTATGCTTATTGGGAAGGTCCTATCGACCCATCCCAACGTGTTGGTACCCCACCATACAACCCTTATCGGCCGGGTGGGTGTGACTACGCCTATGATCCGGCAAGTCCATCAACCCCGAATCCTTTTGATGGTGGTTGGGGTACTGATGAGTGACATTTATGTCGCTCTTAGGATAGTCTTTTCTAGTAGTTTTAGTAATAATTTGGTCCATTTCAATATGTTTTTGCTATGATCCGCCCATTTCGAGTATTCTACCTTTGTGGCGCGTAATGTGTATTCATGTGGTTTAGGTAGTTTATACTCCCCTCCTCTTTCGTTGTATTACGCCTTGCCTTCCTGTTCCATGATTGCAGGTGTATGCCGTTGATTCGGAGATGGAAGGAACAAGGGCTAAACGGGAAGAAATCCAGACCAGACAAATGGCGCGGGCGCGCCACCAGAGGAGCGGGCGCGCCACCTGTAAGCGCGGGCGCGCATCCCTTGAGCGCGGGCGCGTTGATGAGCTGGACCAACCATTAAATACCCACTTTGGAGCGGGCGCGCATTTCGAGGAGCGGCCGCGCCATCATTTAACGCGCGGTCGCGCCATTGTTGGGCGCGGGCGCGCCTGTCTGCTGCTGATTCAAATCCCGATTTCAGCCCAAGTTAAAAGAGGGAGGCAAAACGGCTAACGGGGGGGACAACATTCTATCATAGGGATATTATTTATTTTAGCATAGAACCTTAGAGGAGAGTTTTTTTGGAAGGAATTTTTCTAGGGTTTTGTTTTAGCCACTTTTGTATTGAACAATCTTGATAGTTTTTAGTGTAATTTTCATTGTCTATCAACATTAGTTTTACTCTTAGTTTTTGAAGAAGTAGTTTTGCAACATTGATGTATGGTCAAGCTTGGAGATTGAATGATGTATGGCTCTTTATTTGGATTTCAATGAAGGTTTTGATATATTTCTCTCTTTTCTCTTGTTTTTATGATTAAAGTTTCTACCTTTGTTAGTTTAGTTGATAAAAACTTTGTCTTTCTTACTATTTCATTGGTTATAATGTTGCTTAGTATGATTGTAGTTGTAGTTATGACTAGTGAGTAGTTTCTTGTTGCTAGGGGTTTGGTGAAGATATGCTTTGAGTTTGATGTATGCTAGGCTAGGTTAATTTGGAATATTTGTGATTAAATCTTCCTTGTGCTTATACTTATTAGCCACTCCATGTTTATGGCCATACGCATGTTGTGGTTGAATGACGTAAACTAAATCGTGACGATAGTGCGACTTAGGAATAGTCATTAGGTGATTGATTATTGCATGACCTTAGCTTGTATGCCTTACGACGATAGTGTGAGTGTATGCTAGCTAGGAAAGCTCTTAATCCCGATAGGTGATTAGAGAGTATTCTTGATATTGCCTTGTATGAGTTGCTTGGGTTACATGTAAACCTATTTTCCGATGCCTACCTTCGTTGAATTCATAGCATGTTTGATCCTTCCCCCTAGTGCTTGTTTTAATTGTTATTCTATCCCTCTTAGTCATTACTTTACCCACCATACTTCTTGATCGAATTAGATTAACATTAGGAGATAAATAGCGGTGCTTAATCGTTTCCCTGTGTTCGACCCTTGACTTGCCTCTATACACTTTTAGTTGCATGTTTAGGACTACAAATATCATTTGATAGAGGTGTCTTAGTGACGACCTAAAATACCGCCTGTCAAATTGGCGCCGTTGCCGGGGAAACGGTTTCCATTGTGTGTTTATTTTCTTGTTGAGACTAGTTCTTTTCTATTCTTTTGTTTTTCCGTATCTTGTCAGTGCTCACTTTCTGCTTAGCTTTGTATATGCACAGGAGGCTTAATTGCTCTAGGCCTTTGGTGTCCATAGACCTCGAGCTAGAGCGTACTCTAGCCCAATTGAGGAGACAAGCAAGGGAGAGAGGTGAAGACCCACTTCAAGAGGAAGTGAGAAGTTCCCCTGCCCCATCTTCACCCACTTCAAGTGAGGAGAGCGAACCATCCACAGGCTCAATTCCCAACCCATTTGCCCAATACCATAATCAACAAAGCATGGCTGGATCAGGAAACATGGGTGATCAAAGGTCACTAAAGCAACTTGGAGCACCCGAACCTTATGCCTCTCAAAGTGGGATCCTAGCCCCCACCACTCAAGCAAACAATTTCGAGATAAAGCCTAATTTCATTTCAATGATAGAGAAGAGGCAATTTACCGGTGGGAAATTTGAGAATCCCCATGAGCATCTCAAAGAGTTTCTCAAGTATTGTGACACTATCAAGATCAACGGAGTCTCCCAAGAGTACATAAGATTGAAGATGTTCCCGTTCTCACTCATGGGAGCGGCGGAACATTGGTTGAACAAGGATGTCCCCCCCGGCTCCCTCACGACTTGGAATGAGGTAACTACGGCGTTCCTAGGAAGGTTTTACAATCACAAGAAAACCGCCGAGGCTCGCTCAAAGATTCAAAGTTTCCGCCAAAGAGGTGGAGAGTCTCTTTGTGAGGCATGGGAGAGATTCAAAGAGTTACAAAGGCAGTGCCCACACCATGGGATTCCTAATTGGCAAGTTCTCCAAACATTATACGGAGGACTCTCCCCTCAAAGCAAGACTAGCCTTGATGCCGGAGCCGGAGGCCCAATCATGAACAAAAGGGAAGATGAAGTGGAGAGTATCATAGAAGATGTTGTGCGCAATTATGAGGATTGGTACGAAGGTGAGAGGGAAGCCACTTCTAGCAAAGGAACGATACAATCCGTCGAACAAACCAATGCCATCACAAATCTTTCCAACCAAATGGCAAAGATGGCGAAACAAATGGAGGAGTTCATGAAATCAAGTTCTCAAAATACTTCCTCCCCTTCTCCCAAGGGAGGCCATGGTATGAGTCCTTCTACTTCTTCTCCCTCTAATTACAATGCCATGCCTCCCGGTTGTATGTTTTGTGATATATGTGGAGGCTATGATCATAATTCTCAGCAATGTATGTCCATAAGTGAAGGTCCCCCTCCCCATGAAAATGATGATAATGTTGAAGACGTTAATGCCATGAATTTTGTGCCCCGTGAGGGAAATAATGGAATGCGGCCCAATTGGAATCAAAACCTAAACCGTGGTTGGAATCAAAACCAAGGTTGGAATCAAAGTCAATGGAATCAAAGTGGTGGTGGTTATGATAACCAAGGCCAAGGTAGGGGAAACTCTTCCAATTACAATGGAAGAAGCTACCCAAACCAAAGACCCAATTGGAATCAAAACCAACAACACTATTCCAACAACCAACAACGTTTTAATTCCAATCAGGGTTCCGGGGGTAATAGACCTCAAAATGCTTCTACTTTCTCACAAAATAGTAGACCCCCCGGTTTTGACCAAGTAAGGCCCCATTCTCAAATTCCCCCTACTCAACCCCTCCAAATAGAAGCCCCTCCGGATCCTATGATGACTATGCTTCAAAATTTCATTAAAAATCAAGAAAACCATAATAAGAGTCAAGAGGAAGAAAAGAAACAAATCAAGGCACACATGAAAATGCTTGAGACCCAAATCTCTCAAATTGCCCAACCAAGTTCTTCATCCTCCCCTTCTTCATCTTCTTCTTTACCTAGCCAAGGTGTCAACCCCAAGTCTATGTATGCCATTACTACTAGAAGTGGGAAGATCCTTGAGAGTGATCTAAATGTTGAGAAGAGTCCCGATGTGAGGATAGGACTTGAGGTTGAGGATGAGTCATCAAAAGAGAATGAGATTCTAGAGGGAAGTGCCGGAAAGAATGAGAGGGGTGAGAAAGAGAAAGAGAAGGAACCCGAAAAGGAGAGCACCAAAGATCAAACATCTTTACCCCTTAATCTCCAACCTAGGAATGAGAGGTTACCTTTTCCCCAAAGATTTGCTAGGTCTAGGCTTGATGTCCAATTCGGAAAATTTTTAGATGTAGTAAAGAGCTTGCATGTTTCTATACCCTTTGTGGATGCTATGAAAGAGATGCCACACTACTCTAAATTCCTAAAAGACCTCTTGAATGGAAGGAGAGAAGTTGAAACCGTTAGCTTAACCGCAAATTGTAGTGCTATTCTCTCTAGTAAGCTACCAACTAAATTGCAAGATCCCGGTAGTTTTTCCATCCCTTGTTCTATCAATGAGGTTCATTTGGGGAAAGCTTTGTGTGACCTAGGTGCTAGTGTGAGTTTAATGCCTTTCTCGATCTACCAAAAGCTTAATGTGGGAAACCTTTCACCTACAAACATCACCCTCCAACTAGCGGATAGGTCCACAAAATTGCCTATAGGGAAAGTAGAGGACATACCCCTTAGAGTTGGTAAGTTCACTTTTCCGGTGGACTTTTATATTCTTGAGATGGATGAAGATGAAAGAATTCCTATAATCTTGGGTAGGCCGTTCCTAGCTACTTCTAAAGCAATTATTGATGTCAAAGAAGGCAAGATGACCTTGAAGGTTGACAATGATTCTATCGAATTTGATTTGAATAAGGTGATGAGACAACCTTCCTCTAGCAATGAATGCTTTAGAATAGATACAATTGAAAACTTGATGAATGAGTTTAGGTACCCTCATATGCATGCTTCTAATGATCTACTTGAGAATGTTTTGTTGAATGAGAATGAGGTAGGTGATCAAAAGGAGATGCAATTATATGAGGAAATGCTTGATGAGAAAGAGGAGACAACCCCCGACCAAGAGATGCTCCAACCATATGAAGTCTTCCAAGTAGAAGAGGAGGAAATCTCCAATGGTAAGGTAGCTCCGAAGGTAGAATTGAAACCTCTACCTTCGGGCTTGAGGTATGTCTTTTTGGATGCTAATGATACTTTTCCGGTCATTGTCAATGCTAACCTCACGGAAGAACAAACCTCCTCATTGCTTAATGTTTTGAAAAAGCATAGGAAGGCTTTGGGTTATACTCTTGATGATCTCAAGGGTATAAGCCCCTCCCTATGCATGCATAAAATCGATTTAGAGGAGGGTGCTAAGCCGTGTAGGCAACGGCAAAGGAAACTTAATCCTTCCATGCAAGAGGTTGTGAGAAAGGAAGTTTCCAAGCTACTTGAAGCGGGGATTATCTATCCAATCGCTCATAGTGATTGGGTGTCCCCGGTTCAAGTAGTGCCGAAAAAGGGAGGTATGACGGTAATGGTCAATGATAAGCAACAATTGGTCCCAACTCGGCTTGTTACGGGTTGGCGTATGTGTATTGATTACCGCCAATTAAATGCCAACACTTCCAAAGATCATTTTCCATTACCGTTCATCGATCAAATGCTTGAGAGGCTTACAAAGCATGCCTTTTATTGCTTTCTTGATGGTTATTCGGGATTCTTCCAAATCCCAATTGACCCAAAAGATCAAGAAAAGACCACTTTCACTTGTCCCTACGGAACTTTTGCTTACCGTAGGATGCCTTTTGGTCTTTGTAATGCCCCGGCTACCTTCCAAAGATGCATGATGTCAATTTTTAGTGAAATGATCGAGGAAGAAATGGAAGTTTTTATGGACGACTTTTCCGTTGGTGGAGGCACGTATGAGAAATGCCTAATGAATTTATCTCGTTGTTTAGAAAGGTGTGAGAGTGCCAACTTGGTGCTCAATTGGGAGAAATGCCACTTCATGGTGGAAAATGGCATTGTTCTTGGCCATAAAATCTCCCAAGCGGGCATCGAAGTTGATGGTGCGAAGGTTGATGTGATTGAGAAGCTTCCTCCTCCCACAAATGTGAGAGAAGTGAGGTCCTTCCTTGGTCATGCCGGCTTTTACCGCCGCTTCATCAAAGATTTCTCTTTTATTGCTAAGCCTCTCACATCTCTCTTGCAACAGGATAAAGAATTTGTATTTGATGAAGCTTGTCATGAGTCATTTTGCAGGTTGAAAAAGGCTCTTTGCACCGCCCCCGTAGTCCAAGGACCGGATTGGTCTCTACCATTCGAGCTAATGTGCGATGCAAGCGACGAGGCCATTGGATCAGTTCTAGGACAAAGAAAGGATGGGAAACTTCACGTTATATACTATTTGTCCAAGACTCTCAATGATGCTCAACGGAATTATACAACTACCGAAAAAGAGTTTTTGGCGGTTATCCACTCATTTGAGAAGTTTAGAACCTACCTCATTGGTTCTAGGACAATAGTGTATACCGATCACTCGGCTCTCAAATATTTGATAAGTAAGAAGGAGGCCAAACCGAGGTTGTTGAGATGGGTGTTGGTCCTTCAAGATTTTGATTACGAAATGAGAGATAAGAAGGGAGCCGAGAACGTGGTGGCGGACCACCTCTCTAGGTTGGGAGGTGCAAGAATACATGAAGACGATTTGCCAATTGAAGATGCCCTTATGGATGATGTCTTATATGCTCTTGAGGCAAAATCGGAGCCTTGGTATGCGGATATTGTGAACTACTTGGCTTGTAGTGCCATACCTCCGGATTTCACTCCTCAACAACATCGAAGGCTCAAGTATGAAGCAAAGAAGTATATATGGGATGACCCCATGTTGTTGAAGAGAGGGGTGGATGGACTTTTGAGAAGATGTGTTCCTAATGAAGAGTTCCAAGATGTGCTCTCAATGTGCCACTCATCCCCTTGTGGTGGTCATATGAGTGCTCAAAAGACCGCTTCCAAGGTTTTGCAATGCATGCTCTTTTGGCCGTCTCTATTCAAAGATGCTTGGCAATTTGTTAAGACTTGTGATAGGTGCCAAAGGACGGGGAACATATCAAGGCGTGATGAGATGCCCCAAAATCCGATTCTTGAACTAGAAATTTTTGATGTTTGGGCAATTGACTTCATGGGCCCTTTCATCTCATCCCAAGGAAACCGGCACATTCTAGTTGCCGTTGATTATGTCTCCAAGTGGGCGGAAGCCGTGGCATCTCCCACCAACGACTCAAAGGTGGTCATCAATTTGTTCAAGAAAGTCATCTTCCCAAGATTCGGTGTTCCTAAGGCAATCATAAGTGATGGAGGCTCACACTTCAAGCACCATGCATTCAACAAGCTTCTTTCAAAGTATGGTGTATCGCACAAGCGAGGCCTTGCTTACCACCCCCAAACAAGTGGTCAAGCGGAGGTCACAAATAGGGAGTTGAAAGTCATCTTGGAGAAGACCGTTGCTAGAACAAGGAAGGATTGGTCTAGTAAGCTCATTGATTCATTGTGGGAATATAGGACCGCCTTCAAGACTCCTATAGGGACTACCCCCTATAAGCTTGTTTATGGGAAGAATTGCCATTTACCCGTAGAGATGGAGCACCGAACGCATTGGGCAATCAAGCAAATCAACTTTGATCTCCACAATGCGGGTGAGCAAAGGCTTCTAGAGCTTCATGAGTTGGAAGAGTTGAGAATGAACGCATATGACAGTGCAAGCCTCTACAAAGCAAGAACCAAGGCATGGCACGACGCTCAAATTTCCAAGAAGGAATTTGTGGAAGGACAAAAGGTCCTACTCTACAATTCAAGACTCAAGCTCTTCCCCGGGAAATTGAGGTCTAGATGGAGCGGTCCGTTTCAAGTATCCAAAGCCTTTCCTTATGGCTCAGTTGAGATATTCAATGACAAGTACCCTCCATTCAAAGTGAATGGGCACCGTCTCAAGCCATACTATGAGGGTCAACTAATTGAGAAGCCAGAAAATTTATCTCTCATTGATGTTTTCAAGTCACCATGATTCCGTGTGAAGTACGTCAAGCTAGTGACGTTAAAGAAGCGCTTGCGGGAGGCAACCCGGTTTCTAACCTCTTTGATTTTATTTTCTTTCAAATCGCTTGAACTAATCCATCTAACATTTTTCCCAATCAATTTTGATGTAGGTGTGATTGTGTGTGTCCACGAGGAAAGAGAGACAAGAGTAAAGCAAAAATGAGGAATTTTGAGAAATTGTGCTCGAATGAATACTAAAGAGACAGAACCTCAGCGCGATTTGGACGCGGCTGAAGCGCGATCGGCAAGAGCAGCAAGGCGCGGGCGCGCCTGGTTCCATCGCGGGCGCGCCTTTTACATGAATGTAAATTGCTCCCATTCCAGAAAGTAGGAGCGATTTAGGCGCGATTGAGGAGCGGCTCGCGTCATAAAGTAGGCGCGGCCGCGCCTGTTTTAGAGGCGGGCGCGCCAGCTCTTTGGTCTTAATACTCATCCAATTCCAGAGAATAGGAGCGATTTTGTCGCGATTTGTGAGCGGCCCACGATACCAAAGTGGCGCGGGCGCGCTTATGCAGAGCGCGGGCGCGACAATAGCTTGGTCTGATTTCCAGGGAGTTGGAGCGATTTTATCGCGATTTAGGAGCGGGCCGCGTTTTCACTGAGGCGCGGGCGCGCCTCCGTAGGGCGCGGGCGCGCCTTTCTGGGTATCAAAAAAAAATACGGTTTCGTCTTTTGTTCCCGCAATTTCCCTTAAACCCTCACAAACATAACTCAAACCCCTCATTGCCTTTCTCTCCCTTCGCGGCCGCTCCTCACCACCATACTCAAGATCATCTTCTTCCATCCTCTTAAATCAATCATTCTCATAAATCAATCATCCTCAAGCTTCAATCATTCATCTTCTCCGTTTGTTCATCATCAAAGAAAGCAATTAGTCATCCTCAACACCAACCGCATCGAACTCCTTACTACTCAAAACCCTCACCAAATCGACACCAAAACAGCAATTTTTCGCATAAGGGTAAAGGTATTCAATTTCCTTCGTTAATTATTCTCTTTTGATTAATTTTTAAGCAAGGATTTTGATTATCTTAGGTTATTAGCGAAATTTGGTTGATTATTGTTGAAATTACTGCTGGATTTTGTTGAAATTGTTGTTGTTGGTTATTATCTTAGGCTATATTCGTTGCGTTGGTTGGATTATTATTGCTTGTGAACAGGTACATTGTAGTTTTGTGGAGGTTAAGGGTGGAAATAGCCGGAGTTGGCTTTGAAAAGGAGTGAAAACAGAAAAAAAGAGAGGCGGGCAGTCATGAGTCTAAGGATTGGTAAGAAGAGAAAAACTGCAAAATCGGGACAATCGTCCCAAAACCCAGAGTCAGACCAACCCAATGCCTTACCCACCCTAAAATTCTTAAACAAAAGCCACTCCTCCATTTACTCCGAAATGAAAAAACGTAAGTTGCGACCTTCTAGGCACTACCATCGTGGAGACATGATAAAACTCGGTATAAATGATGATCTGTGGATTCTTTTTGACAACCTTCGACTAGGGTCATTTATAAACTCCTCATTCATGACCTACCAAGAACCCACATTAGAGTTTTTCTCGTCTTTTCAAGTGGATAGTCTAGAAAATAACGACTTTCGAATTTCTTTCCAACTCTTCAACAACCCCCACACCATGTCATTGGCAGAGTTCAACCGAGCCCTCGACTTTCACCCTGATGCCGACATTCACTACCCTCTTTATGAGAGCTTTAGGGAGTATAGTGAGTACGCTTGGTGGCGTTCCATTTCAGGTAAAAATGAGTTTTACACCCGGACTTCCATAGCCAGTGAGATTTGGCACCCTGCCCTTAGGATCCTACACCGTTTACTAGGGTATTCTATCATTTCTAAACAGGACCTAGGAAAACTGACTAAGGAAGAGGTCCTTTGCCTATGGATAGCCACAAAGGAAGAGCATGCACGGAGGTTGAATTTGGGTTTCCTCTTCATGCAAACTTGCCAAGCCATAGCAAAAGGGAAAAAGCCAGGGGAGATACATTGCGGGGCGATGGTCACTAGGTTGGCCACCAAATTAGGTTACACTGACCTTCTACCTCTATGCACGGCCGTAGGTAGTAGTGGGGATATTTACCTTGACTTGGACCAGCTTCGCCGCTCTGATTTTATTACCCCCACGGCAAACCCCAATGCTTTTCGGTGGCTAGTTAGAGGAGCCCACCATTGTTTCCTCCCTAAGCCTCACTTCACCTCCCTCACGCGTCAGTCCTCTAATGTGTGGAGAGTTTTGAGAGATAGCGGGCGAGTGCCCGATGTTGATGGGGACGATGAGGTAGGGATAGGTCATGAGGAGGAGGTTCAGGAGGAGCAGCAGCAGCAGCAGCAGCAGCCGGTTACCCAGCAACCCGCAGGTACAGGTACATTTCAGCTATCTGATATAGCTAGTCAGTTGCAAGCAATTTATGAGTCACAGCAAGGCCACCATCTGCAGCAGCAGGCCCTCTATGACTCAGCTGTGGATCGAGGAGAGATTGCTCCCCCCGTGAACTACCCCAATTGGCCGCCTCAGCACGGCCCTGTTCCTTCTTGGGGGGGGGAACAATCTCCCCACTTACCCCTACTGGCAAGGTCCTTCCGAGCCTAGTAGGGAGCTCCGCAGCTTCCCAGAGGACGGGCAGTACGATTATCGTGTGCCCGGCGGGTGTGACTTTAGAGGGGACCCTGCTTACCCCTATGTGCATCCTGATCACCCCGCCCCTCTGTATTCCCAGTCCGAGGACGCTCCCTCTGATCCTTTGCCTAGTTGGCAAGAGGATCTTTACAGAGGTCACTACGGTTGGCCGCCGGGCTTTGACGGTGGTTGGGGCCTTTTCGGCCCCCCTAGTGGCTTCACTTATGACGAGCCGCCACGTCGGTTTGGCTCACCTAGTGAGCCCAGCTCTAGTGGCCAGTAGGCTGCGTCCTTGAGTACATCTCTCTCCCCTGCTTTTGTACGCTCATTTTGATGAGTAGGAGATATACTCTTGGTAGGGAGTGACTTGGCTGGGATTCTTACTTGCTCGCCTGCCGTTCTTTCATTGTTTTCCCTGTACCTTCATGCTGCTGATTCTGCTAAGTTACATGACTGTTTTCTTTGGTTAATTTTGCCCCTGTTCACTAATATTGTTGATGAGTTTCGATGTGGTTTTGATGATGATGCTGTTTTGGGGACGCTTCTCTCGGTTTGATGGATACCGGTGAGTCCGCCCCCCGTTTTTCCTGTCGATGATGATGATGATGATTACTGGTGTTCGCCGACATGGCGATTGACCAGTGCAGGTATGTATATATGGTTCGATGATTTTTGAGGTAATGTTGATTTTGTAGGAGATCTAGAAATTTTGTCAAGGGTAGATTAACTTAATAGACTTGCGTTCTTGAATGTCTTTATTCCTAAAGATTAAGAGTTTCCGCGTTCTTGGATTGCCATTGGTTGACTCTAAAATATGTCTATGCTAAGGTAGTTGTGCTAGAACTCGTAAGGCCCACCGAACCCAAATTCACTTGTTTGTGGTAAGAAGGTGTTGCCCCATTGGGGGATTTGAAGCCCTAAAGGTAGTTTTTGTAACCCGATGTCAGTTTTAATGTTCAAGCCTCCAACACTTATTGTATGAGCGGCATAGGATCCTTACCAAGGCATGCTTAGATCGAGAACTTGTTGTCTAGCTACCCGAGATCGCGACCGAACTATATCTAGGGAGGACAAAGGCATTTTCTTCGGTGACTATTTTGCTTTTCTGGGTTTAGCTTTTCTTTTGTTGCTTCCTTGTAATTTCATTTGCATATCCCCCTTGCTAGCCATGTTGAGCCTACACCTCCTTGTTTGTAGCATATTACAAACCCTATAACCCTTCTAGTTCATTTTTCCTCCGTAGAATTGTGAAGTTTGAGCCAAGAAAGTTTGTTGTGATTTTGGTTTGGTAAGTTGGACGATGATGGTTTGGTATGGAAAGTAAGGTCGTTTTCGATATTTTTGGTGTTTAATAAAAGCAAATGTGAATTCAAAGAAAAAGCCGTCCATAGTTATAAAAGGCACGGACAAATTAATAAAGGTTGACAAAAGCTTGAGCTACAAAAAAAAAAAAAAAAAAAAACCAAAAAAAAAAAAAAAAAAAAAAAAAAAAAAAAAAAAAATTTGCCAATTTGCAAACAGATTTTCATGTAGTGTCCTCCCTAATTTGCGCATTGAGGACAATGCTCAATTCAAGCTTGGGGGAGAGATTCTACGCATTTCATTTATAGTTTTGTGAGATTGAGTTGAAAAAGCTTGGGGGAGACGTATTTTTGTTTGGAAATTGGTGATATTCTACGTTGTTTTCGAGAATTGGCGCCATTCTTTGCTTCACAATTAGGATTTACCACCAAATTTTCATGTTTTTTTTTTCTCACCTTTACCTCCTAGCCTACATTACAACCCCTTTTAAAGTCCTTTCGACTTGGATTGGTTGAGTCACTAGTCGGTGGAGGGAGCTAGATTTCAAGCATATGGAGAGAGCATGACTTGGTAAGATGTCGGGTCACCCTTGTTTCATTTGTTCCGGCTCCTTCGTGGAGTCATGAGATGCTACCTTGAAGGGTGGATTTGAATCCAGATGAGGGAACGCGGTAAGAATGTATGGAATGCGGGTGGAGTGGAGCATGTTAGAGTTCTCTATGCTTAGCATAACTTATCTTTCAATCAACCATTGGCATCCAAAAACGTGCTTACTCTTAGTGCTTAGAAAGATTGCCATCCATCTATGCTTGTTTGTAGTTGATTTTTTTTTTTTTTCTATTTTGCTTGTGTTTGGATAATCGTTTCTCAATCTTCTTTGCCTTTAGCTTTGCTCGAGGACGAGCAAAGGTTTAGCTTGGGGGAATTTGATGAGTGACATTTATGTCGCTCTTAGGATAGTCTTTTCTAGTAGTTTTAGTAATAATTCGGTCCATTTCAATATGTTTTTGCTATGATCCGCCCATTTCGAGTATTCTACCTTTGTG